TGGGGAATATCAGAAGTCATAAAAATGAACAAATTACCAAGGTTGGCTTTTCTCATGTCTTCTATACCGCTTAAATTTCCCCCCTAGCTGGTTTATGGAAATAAAGAAGTTATTCTCTGGTTTTCTTTGGAAGGATTAGTAATAAAAAATTAACCAACCCAAGAATTAAAGGAGGATTAGGACTTCCAGATATATACCAATATTATATAGCATTTAACTCTAGATATCCCCTGCAGTGGGCCTATGCTGGTGTTAGAGAGATTGGCAGTCGGGAGTGGCTTGAGGAAAACATTTTAAAACTTATAACAGGCATAACCTTAAAGTCATTTCTAGAATTAATAATCCAGCTTTACAGCTCTCATGTGATGTAGTCAAAATTCTCCAGAAGCGTTTGAACTTTAGTGGAACATCTTTACCATCATGTCCACTGTGGAATAATCCCTTGTTTACCGAAGGAGGTAAACCTCTTAAGAATAAAGTATGGCAACAGCATAATATAAGTCAGTTGGGCCAAGTAATTAGTGATGGCAAAATGATCCTGTTTAATGACTTAAAATTACATTTTGGACTCTGTCATATCTACAAATAAAATCTGTCATGAAACCTTTACTCTCCAAAGAGATAGGGAGTAAAAAAGATTTAGAAAACAAATTAAGGGGAATTGCTGTCAGGAAAGGTACAGTCTCAGCAATGTATAAATTATTATGTTCTGCTGCTCCTGACAGAAACTCCCAAACTAAATTACAATGGGAACGTGATATGAGTGTACCTATTTTCCTCCCACAATGGGATAGAGCCCTTACAAGTTGTACAAAAGTGTCAAAGTGTGTCAGATACAAAATTATACAGATATTACACAGAGCTTACATTACACCTTGCAATCTGAATAAATTTGATAACACATTATCCAAATCCTGCTGGCATGGCTGTGAGGTGGAGGGTACACTAATGCACTTACTGTGGAACTGCCCTCCTATTAAGAGGTTTTGGTTGAATGTTATTGAAAGCTTGTCACATGTCCTTAACATAGATATAAAACCTTGCCCGATAACCTGTTTATTAGGTGCGAATATGGACACTACAAAACCCAAAACTGTATAAAGTATTATTGTCCTGGCTTTTCTATCAGCTAAACGGATCATTTTAATGAACTGGAAACAACATAAGCCAAATTGTTTTCGTATGGAGAACTGGCGAAAGGACTTCATGGAGTTTTATCGATGGAACAGGCCGCCTCCACTCTAATAGAGGATAATAGGCCGGATGAACTGTGGAGCTTTTTTAAATCTTGTCTGTGTCTGTGAAGAACTGATATACTACTGTACTGCTACTGTGGAGTGCTGTTTAGAAGCCACCAGTTTGGCATTATGGTCGTCGCCATGACATTTTTTTCTGAGCCAGCAGCGGAATTCCACCTGTGCAGTTTTAATAGATGGAACTATTTACTGAGTTCATGTCTGAATTAATGTGTGCCACGGGTCCTAATTTAAAGTATTGCACGCTATCACGGCGGTAGGGGCACTCCGTCACACTTTTCCTCATTTGTTCTGTCTATTTTAATTTCAGTAGTTTATTCTTGGGGTCCCCAGTGACCACAGTTGTTGTTCTTGTCCTTGTATGTAAATATGTTGTTAGGAAGAGGGTTAATTATCATTTTTTTAATTGTGTGTTTGTTGTTAGTTTAAACCCTGTATAAGTTTGTTTCACTAGTGAGAGATAACCAGTTACACAACATGAAGCATTAGGGTTGTTGCCATGGTTACCTTTATTGTGATACACCTAGTTCAGTGATTTAGAACAGCAGTCAAACGGTTGACCAGAACATGTTTGATTTGTTTTTTAACAGACCAGCCAATCAGAGTGCAGTGTCTGTGGTATAACCACTATCTATCTATCAGCGTTTTGTGGGAATGGCAGAGCAATTTAACCATGGTCTGGCCCCGGTGAGTGGGGGTCCTGTGTGAAGGGCTCTGCCTCGGACGTGCCTCTCAGCCCTGAGTGACTAACACTCACCTCACTGTATGAAGAGGGAACACTGTTTTCAGTGGGAATGACAGGGTGAGTGAAAACAGTGGTTTTCTGGAGTGGCCTCTGTTAGAGAGGGTCATCCCTTCGAGTCAAACACTACAGCTCTCTCACAGCAGTCCCGCCGTCATACATCAAAGGCTCCAAGCCCGTTTGATTTGAGTACTTGCTCATAATGGCCAAGTAATTTAATTTTATTGTAACTTCAAACGGCAGCTTATGATACAGAGCAGTAGTTGCATTTAGCCCTCATACCAGAGTAGATATTTTCAAAATACAGACATCTTTCAAATAAAAACCAATGTTCACATTATAGCCATTAACAGATCATGGCTATAATAACAAATAAAATAAAATAAAACCTATAAATAATAGTAAATTAAGTTAAATGTTCATTTACACAACACATCCATTCTAAACACTTCTACGTTGCTGCCCTTTAAAATCAGTCTCAATAAAACTAAAACTTACGGTTAATATAATAATGCATATATAATGCATTATAAGCAGACTTGGGGAGTAACAGATTACATGTTACTAGTTGTGTAATCAGGATATAAAAACTGTAATCCATTAGTTAGAGAATAAAATATGTAATCAGAAAACAGGGATAGTTTGTACACTGAGGAGAGGACACATTTTTGATGACTTTTCTTTTCTCTGGTCTTTATATGCATATTTGGTGTTGAGGTAATCCAAAAGTAATGGAAAGTAATCAAGTTATGTTACTTTAATATTGTGATACTCAGGTTAGGTTAACAGCCTGTTAACCTAATTGTATCGGAATCTATTTTAAAAGTAACTCTCTCTAAAATAGACCAGTAGTATTTGCACATTGTCACTTAACTTCTGCTTCTTGACTTCAGGGAGTAAGGATTATTATAAAATAACCATTATCCACAGAAGAATCAATACTGACAAACAACTACATAAGAAGTGAAGTGCGCAGTATTTCTCATTCCATACTACATCCACTCATGAAAATTTTTTAGAGCTGATTTAGAGCTGCGTACCAGCTGAAAAGTAAGTGGGTAAACCCTGCACTAAACCTCTGCTCCCAACCCTGATTATACATCAAATATAATTATTTAAAAAAACAGGAAATGTTGATAATAAAGTCTTCTTGCTTTTATCTTCCCTTTAACAGAAACAGCTTCCATTCACAAATTAATATAGAGCAATAGAGAAGCAATTAATAATTGCTTCTCTATTGCTCTATTGCCCCTCTAGCATAATTTCTGGATGGGCAGGACTATAACAAGAATAAATATGCAACGTCTCGTTATAATTTGAAAATAAAGCTTATACGGTTAGGGTTTGTGATCGTGGTTTGGGTTAAAATAAGTACGTAACATACATAGCATAATACATGTAACATAAGTTGGTAACCCTTCCTTTTACAGTCCCCTAATTACCAGGTATTTACCAGGTAAATATATGGTAATTCATAGCATCTTCTTGTGTAATTACCACCAGTATAAGAAGGTAAATACATGGAAACTACAGCTGAAGTACAAAGTATTTATCTGGTAAAATATTTTACAGTGCACTGATTACCAGGTAGTAACCCGGTAAAACATAGAATGTTCTTGTGTAATTTACACTAGTAAAAGAAGGTCAAACAGGGAAACTACAGTCAAAGTACAAAGTATTTACCTGGTAAAATATACTGAAATTACACTGTATTATTGGCTAATTACTGCTGGTAACAAGTAAGTAAAAAAATCTCCACTACTGCCCATCTTTTCAACTGAGTACCATGTAGTTAACAGGTTTAGGTTGGTAATTACTCAGATATAATTGTATAAAATATGGAATTGTTTCTATTTAAGTTGAACATTTTGCCCGTATTTACCTGTTATCATCCTCTGCAGGAATGGTTTTCCTCTGCTGCCGTGGCCCAGTATATCTTCTTAAATATTGGGTACGTTCTTGCATATGGTTTTAGAACTTACCCAACATGTACGCTGAAACTGTACTGTAAAAGGAAGCCTTGCTTGTTTCCATGCTATTACTATGTTCTTACTAAATTCTTAGTAATAGAATATTCCATTGTCTATGCAATTAAATTAATTTGTATCATTCATGTTCTACAACATTACTAAGTAAAACGTGACAAATTACCCAGTTAGTAAGATGAACCTGTACTGTAAAAGGAAGCCTTGCTTGTTTCCATGCTATTAAAAGGATCTTGCTATACAATTTGTAATAGATTACTCCCTTTTCCATGCAATCAACACAAACTTGAACCACATATGTTCCTGGACATTATCAAGTAAAACATGTCAAATTATCCAGTAAGTAAGCTGAACCTGTACTGTAAAAGGAAGCCTTGCTTGTTTCCATACTATTACTATGTTCTTACTAAATCCTTTGTAATAAAACATTCCATTGTCTATACAGTTAAATGAGTAAATAAATAGTAAGATGAAAATGTACTGCAAAAGGAAGCCTTGCTCGTTTCCATGCTATTAACAGGCTCTTGCCATATCATTTGTAATAGATTATGCCATTTTCCATGCAATCAACACAAACTTGAACCTTAAAAGTTCCACAACATTACTAAGTAAAACATGCCAAATTACCCAGTGAGTAAGATGCAACTGTACCACACAAAAAGGAATGTTTAATACCAAGATATAACAAAGGCACAGTGGAAAGTAACAAGATGTACCAAAGTTACCATGAACATTGTTAAGTAATATATACTTATTACTAAAAGATTCAGGGTTCAAAGACAACACTTAAACAGAAAAACAAAAACAGAAGTCTTCAAAATGTTTAAAATCTGAAAAATAAAGTATGCTGCCGTACACGAGCAGACTGTAAAGTAGGCAAAGACAAACTCAAAAACCTATTACCTTTCAACAACCCTTCTACCCTTCAACTCCCTACCATAGGGAAAGTAGTAATGTGAACCCTCACTTCCTAAATTTGCATTTTATGGGTAGCAGCTCAGACTTTTTTTTCATTTGTTAAATTTTTTCTTCAAGCGGGTTGTTACCCTCCAGGAAGGTCTTGCAGGTTTTGGCGTAGTTTCCTAAAGTGTCCTCCTCAGTGAACTCTGGCAGCAGCCCGAAATCTTCACCCTCTGTAGCAAACCACACCTCTGCAATGATTGCCGTTAAGGCGATTGTATTTCTGTCAACGCTCAGCGATTCACAGCTGAGGCTGATGCTCCTTGTACGCCGAAATTCTTTTAGAACAGCTCTGTATCGATGTACGACGTCCTCTGGACCCTGAACTACAAGACAGATTAGAAAATATGATCTATTAACATTATATCATAATCACACAAACATTAATAATCTTGGTTTTACATAACAGGACATTCTAGAGTTAGAGAGGTAAATAACGTATATAATCTAGTCTCTGCACTCCTCTCCTTCACTCTACTCTTATAAAAGTGATTAATTCAATAAATAGTGCTTTATGATAGGCCCAGCCTATTGCGTGTGTGCACGCTGGCACTGAACTTCTCCCCAAAGAAAATCAGTCAACACATGAGGGTGCTACATTGAAACTATAAGCAGGGAGTGCAGCAGCAAAACCCAGACAGAGCAGACAGCAGCAATGACAATGAACAGGCGGAAAGCACAACAGGGGGAGCTGGGGGCGGCGGTGGGTTGAAGTCGGCTAGTGGAGGAAGCAGCAAGAGAAGCCAGGCGAGAGCAGTTTAAATACTGAGCTTTGAAAGTGATTAGCCAATAGGAGCATTGGTGAAGTCAGCTGAGTGATCAGCTGATGGGGCTAGGCTTGCTTGCTGCTGACAGCTGATATAGAGCGTGTCATTGTGGCCTGCCTGAACTAACCCTATGCTTTATGAATATAAAAGTCGTACTAAATTCTGTGTAGGACATGGTCAATATTGAACGATTGACGATACCCTGCCCTTGGCAATACCCTGAACTATGATAACCTACAAGCCTAATATGACTGTATAATATAAGATGATTGTGAGCTATCCTTTTCATAATGATGAAAGTTACCTCTTTTTCCAAATTTTGCAGGGTTTTCCTTCTTCTTATTCTTTCTCTTCTTCTTATTCCTCTTTTCTTCAGAGGAGGAGTCTGACTCAGAGTCAGATGTTGAAGAGTCTGAGGAATCCATGAGCCCCCTTTTGTCGGACCCTTAAACAGAGTAACAAAAATGATGAAATAATTATTTTTTCTAATAATTATTTTTTCTGATTTTGCGCTTGAAAAAAATGATCTTATTGTAGCGTATTTATATTATTTGTATGATATGGATACAAAATAAGCAACTCATTTAGACTATAGAAATAGCTTTCCATGTTGTTTTTGGGAAGAGCACTGTCTGGATACCTTTTGAAGATGTTGAGGGTCTGGTCTTCACTGGGTTGAGACCTTTCTGCCTAAGGAAATCCCGCTCCTCTTTCAGAAGTCGGTTCTCCTCTTTCAGAAGGCGGTTCTCCTCTTTCAGAAGGCGGTTCTCCTCTTTTAGCAATCTATAATCCTCCTTAAACTTAGCCATGGTTGGGGCAGTAGTTGGAGCAGATGACTGTGCAATCTCTTCCACTAAAAAAGATGCAAAGACAAGGGCAGGTGCTCGCTGTTAGTGTATTTCCAAAACCTGTTTTAATTATCAACCAGAGGAGGGTGCATGATAAAAGGTTTACACCGGGCGGCCATTATACACTTAATGTTTTTACTTGCAGTATATTATATTCTATTATTGTGTATTATTATTCTATTATTGTCAGACCATGCCTGGATATACTGGATAGTACAGGTCAGTAAATGCCAACCGAGGGCACTACCGTGACAGGGGCAGCACCAATTACCCCTTTTGAGCCAGGAAAAACCCTTCCTGCAACCAAAAGCTAAACATAAAATACTTTTGTAGTATTTACATCCTTTTCCATAAAAAACTATGTTATCTTCATTACCAGACTGCAGCATGTCATCATCTGGTGGGTTGCTGGTTTGTTTCGACTTAGTTTGTCTCTTACCCCGTGTCAATGGCATGACTAAATGTAAAAGAAAGAAAGAAAGAAAGACTAGTTAGTCTGTTTTAGAACTTGGACTGTACTTACTAACAGGAGCTTAGAGCCATGGAGAGAATCCACTGCTCTGGTAACGTTTGTTCTCTGTTGTGTTTAATGAACATCAGTTACAGTAATCAAAATGCAGTACAATAAAGGAATAACGTTATGCATCTAAATTTGAGAAAGGGCTGGCTCTATTCGTGGCAGCGGTAGATAGTAGTAGCACTTCCGGTGGCAGCTGCCACTGACCTGCCGGTGTCTGAGGGAGCAGTAGCCTCAGACACCGCGGAGAGCCAGCCCTTGCTGGAGACTAAACTTTCGCTCGAGACAAAACAGTTAACTTATCTTGCATTATCAAAATACCTTGACAAAATGCTTCTTCTTGCCACGATAGTATGAAAACGTGATGTGTTTTGCCACTTTCCGCCGGCGCCTTCTCTTTCTACCTGGCGACCCACTATGGGGGGAGCCAATGAATGGAATAGTCCATTAAATGGAATTAAACAGTTGGTAAGAGTAGTTGCGTATTAACAGTAAACGTGTACTTGGCATTACCGCGATCTAATGATTTAACACTATCTGTTTTTGCGCTATCCTACTCCCCCTCCCCCTAACACCAAGTTCAGAATGGTATGTTCCTAGAGATCAGGTCGAAATTTGGACAAAAATGCCCGTGCAGGTGGCGGTTATACACCCGGAAAGCTGGTGCCCCCCCGCCATAAAAAAGCAAAGAAAAAGAACAATGCCCGCACAGAGCACTTAATGTGTGAATATTTCAGTAGGCCTAATATGACATTGACAAGAACATTAATTAAGAAGACAGCGCAAGGGGGTAAAAAGTTAATAAGATGGATGCAGACGGAGAGGTTGTTGGCAACGAAGAAACGATGCCCTGTGTGCAACAACAGAATGAAATTCAAAAGAACCAACACAACCAAGGATGGATATAGGTGGTAAGTAAGGATCAATATGCCATTATATTATATTGTAACATTTAAATTGATCAAATCTTAACAGATTATCTTCATGTAGATTTTACTCTAGCTATTGTTTCATTTATATCAGACTATAATAGTGAAAGAAAGAAGACAAAATTAACTTATGTGAGCTATCTTTATGTAGGTTTATTTATTTATTCATTTGTTTGTTTATTTATTCATTTAACATTATAATTTTTTAGTATAAAAATATATATAAGTGTAACCATGGCGATACTATGACAAACTGTTATGTACAGGTGCTGTAGAAGAAGAACTCACAAGGACAGGGCCATCCTGAGGTCCATCAGAGAGGGCTCAGTTTTCTCCAGATCACATATTCCATTACCATCATGGATGAAACTTATGCACAGGTTAGGTTCTCTCTCTCTCTCTCTCTCTCTCTCTCTCTCTCTGTGTCTGTCTTACACTGTTGTGTTTAAGTGTTTCAGAAAAACCCAATTGATGATATGTTGATAGTTGTCATATTTAGTCATTTTTGTCTCAGTTTGTCACAGGGCTTGAGGAAGAGACAAGTAGACATGATAGAGGATGGAGTATGTGGAAGCAGCAAATCACTGACCAGAGTAACTACGCTGTTGCGAGAAATCTGTGGTGAAGCAGTTAGGCGACTGGAAAGAAGACGGAAAATGAGAATTGGAGGGAGGAGAGCTTTTGTAGCAATAGATGAGAGTAAATTCAGACACAAACAGAAGGTAAGGTTTGTTTATGTAAGTCTGTTGTGAAAGTACAGTACATCTGAATTACTACAGTACTATAAATACATTGGAAACAGGTTTTCATAGAGTAAAATACTCCACCCAAATTTATCTATATTAATCTAAGATTAGAATCAGGTCCTGTTGATCAGCCTCAATGCTGCTGGTAATACTGCATTACATATGTCTATTGCATAGCATACAAATACATATAATTAAGTCTGCTTAGAAAAATATGACACCTAAAAATTTTGATTTGGACACTAGCCCTATGAAATGTCATATGCCAGGTAGCACATGGGGGTGAATCAGACAGCCATGAAGTGAGTCTAACACTATAATTTCAGATGAATTTCATAAAAGCATGACATTTTGCTTATTTTCAGTATGGACGTGGACGACATGGACCTACCTGGCGAAGACGCTCGTGGGTCTTTGGAATGCTGGAAGTGAAGAGGTCCCGTAGACATCCTGTCTTAAAGCTGGTGGAAAATCGATCCAGGATGCAATTACTCACAATAATCCGAAAATATATCAGACCTGGAAGTGAGGTGATTAGTGATTCCTGGCGGGCCTACAACAGATTGTCACGTGAAGGATACATTCACTATCAGGTGAATCACCAGAGACATTTTGTACACCCTGGAAGTGGTGCTCACACACAGCACATTGAACGGGGATGGCAAAGTTTCAAAGAAGGCATCTACAGATACAGGGGAAACCTGACAGAGAGGGCCTTAAAAATGAACTTACGGTTCATAGAATGGAACCACTGGCTTGGAAAGGAGCATAGGAAAGGCATTCTTGGACGCTTACTTAAAGACATAAGAGCATGTTACAAAGTGTAACAACCTTCCAATCCTTTCTCTTGTTTCAAAAACTGAAAAAAGCATGATCTCATAAATTACACAAGGTACCACTTCTAACCTTATATTAATTTCTTAATTGTTAGTAATTGTTCATGGTTGCAACCATGTAAATTTTAGAACAATTTGTTACTTTCCACTGTGCCTTTGTTATATCTTGGTATTAAACATTCCTTTTTGTGTGGTACAGTTGCATCTTACTCACTGGGTAATTTGGCATGTTTTACTTAGTAATGTTGTGGAACTTTTTAGGTTCAAGTTTGTGTTGATTGCATGGAAAATGGCATAATCTATTACAAATGATATGGCAAGAGCCTGTTAATAGCATGGAAACGAGCAAGGCTTCCTTTTGCAGTGCATTTTCATCTTACTATTTATTTACTCATTTAACTGTATAGACAATGGAATGTTTTATTACAAAGGATTTAGTAAGAACATAGTAATAGTATGGAAATAAGCAAGGCTTCCTTTTACAGTACAGGTTCAGCTTACTTACTGGATAATTTGACATGTTTTACTTGATAATGTCCAGGAACATGAATGATACAAATTAATTTAATTGCATAGACAATGGAATATTCTATTACTAAGAATTTAGTAAGAACATAGTAATAGCATGGAAACAAGCAAGGCTTCCTTTTACAGTACAGTTTCAGCGCACATGTTGGGTAAGTTCTAAAACCATATGCAAGAACGTACCCAATATTTAAGAAGATATACTGGGCCACGGGCAGCAGAGGAAAACCATTCCTGCAGAGGATGATAACAGGTAAATACGGGAAAAAATGTTCAACTTAAATAGAAACAATTCCATATTTTATACAATTATATCTGAGTAATTACCAACCTAAACCTGTTAACTACATGGTACTCAGTTGAAAAGATGGGCAATAGGGGAGATTTTTTTCTTCGTGTTTCAGTTGTAGTTTCAGTATTTACTTACTTGTTACCAGCAGTAATTAGCCAATAATACAGTGTAATTTCAGTATATTTTACCAGGTAAATACTTTGTACTTTGACTGTAGTTTCCCTGTATTGACCTTCTTTTACTAGTGTAAATTACACAAGAACATTCTATGTTTTACCGGGTTACTACCTGGTAATCAGTGCACTGTAAAATATTTTACCAGATAAATACTTTGTACTTCAGCTGTAGTTTCCATGTATTTACCTTCTTATACTGGTGGTAATTACACAAGAAGATGCTATGAATTACCATATATTTACCTGGTAAATACCTGGTAATTAGGGGACTGTAAAAGGAAGGGTTACCCATAAGTTAAAAAGAAGTCGGGCCTCATTGCAACAACATTCTCTTATACTTTGTCTTTATAGAATATTAACAGGAAATTTGAGAATCAACTCCAGATGCACCAAACATTCTCAAACATCCAAATCTTAATCAGGTGAATGATGAATCCCACTTGATCTTAAATTGGAGGCGTGTGACTTATTGTTTATTAGCATACGTAATGCCTCCTAAACACCATATAAAACTGTGCCATGTGCAAACACACTGGCACATGGCCACCTAAACAAGGCAATGGATGGATTAGATGTATAGTTATTTATGGATAGTGATAGAGATAAAATACTCTACATACATAATATAAAGGTATCAATAGAAAAATAAACATACCAAATAACAAATTAATTAAAATAGATCAGTAAAAGTAAAAATATGAGATATCTATAGATATCATCCAAGAATTTTTTTATTTCCTGTTTCAATTGTAGTTTTCCTCCTTTTGTGTCTTGTTCTACCTTACTTCCCATCTTTGTCTTTTTCCCACCATTTTGATGGTGAATTGTCACCTGTGTCTCGTTAGTTTCCTACCTGTAGAGTATATATTCCCTGTGTTACTTTCCATCAGTGCCAGTTTGTCTTTGTACCTTCGTTGTCACGACCTCTGACACAATATAGGTGGACCCAAATGCATGACTCTGGCACAGACGAAGATGTAGAAAAAAATATATTTATTTAACAAAAAGCACTCTCAAGGAGGATATCAAAATGCAAACAAAAGTCGCTCTCAAGGAGGATATCAAAAAAGCAAACAGACCAGAACCAGAGCGCTTTCCTTGATCGGCTTGACTTTGCTGACATGGAACGTGGAGTGGACCTTTAATGACCTGGGAAGACGAAGACGCACAGAAACAAGGTTAATGACCTTTGATATGGGGAATGGACCGACAAACCTGTGAGCCAACTTCTTGGAGTGTACAAGAAGGGGCAAGTGTTTGGTCGCCAGCCACACCCTTTGGCCTGGCCTGTAGAGAGGAGCCGGTCATCTGTGTTTGTCTGCTGCCGCTTTCATCTGGGCCGAGCTGCGCAGAAGTGCCCACCGAGCACTAGCCCAAATCCGGCGACAGCGTCTGACCATGGCATGAGCTGAGGGAACCACAACCTCCTTCTCATTTTCAGGGAACAATGGAGGCTGGTAGCCGTTGGCACACTGGGACTGTGAGAGGCCTGTGACACCTGAGGGAAGGGTGTTATGGGCGTATTCCACCCATGTGAGGTGGTCACTCCAGGTGGCTTGGTTTAGGGAGACGAGGCATTGAAGGCACGTCTTGAGCTCCTGGTTGAGGTGTTCAGTCTGTCCTTTGGACTGTGGGTGGTAACCGGAGGACAGACCAAAAGCTGGAGACAAACAGTGGTCCTCTATCAGAAACAATGTCACTGGGAAAACCATGGATCCTGAAGACCTGCGTCATCATGACCTCTGCTGCCTCCTTAGCAGAGGGTAACTTATCAAGTGAAATGAAATGTGCCATTTCGGAAAAGCGGTCGAAAACCATCAAGATGGTGGTGTTACCTTTTGATGGGGGTAGTCCGGTCACAAAGTCCATGGAGATGTGGGACCATGGCCTTGTAGGAACAGGCAGCAAGTGAAGCAAGCCCATTTGGGCCTGAGGCGAGGTCTTATTTCGGGCACACACTGGACAGGCAGCCACATACTCCGATACTTCCTTTTCCATGGCTAGCCACCAGAACTGCTGCTTGATGACAAACAGTTCTCTTGACACCCGGATGGCACGTGAGCATGAACGTGTGAGCCCAGTGGATTACCCTGGAGCGTAATGACACTGGGACAAACAAACGGTTACTTGGACACCCACTAGGTGCTGGGCTCACAACATTTGCCTGCTTAACATCTGATTCTATCTGCCATGACACCGCTCCAACCACACGGTTCAGTGGAAGGCTTGGCTCGGGTTCTTTGGCAATAGGTTCAGGGTCATAAAGGTCGTCCAGGTACACATCATAAACAAAAGCCTGAAACACCACCGGAGCATTGCAGAGTGCAAAAGGCATGACCAAATACTCATAATGTCCAGTTGGGGTGTTAAATCCTGTTTTCCACTCATCTCCTTCCCTGATTCTGATGAGATGGTAAGCATTTCTAAGATCTAGTTTAGTGAAGACTGTGTCTTTTTGGAGCAGTTCAAAAGCAGATGATATTAACAGGAGAGGATACCGGTTTTTAACTGTCATGTCATTTAAAGGACTGTAGTCAATGCATGGCCGCAGTGAACCATCCTTCTTCCCCACAAAAAAGAAACCTGCACCAGGTGGAGAGGAGGACGGACGGATTATCCTAGCCTTCAGTGAGGAGGTGATGTATTCGTCCATGGCCGCTCTCTCTGGCCCAGAGATGGAGTAGAGGCGCCCCTTGGGGATGGGTGTGCCGGGTAGCAGGTGGAAAGGTCGATGCGGAGGAAGTGACATGGCTTTCGTCTTGTTGAAAGCTTCTTTTAAGTCATGATGAACAGAAAGGTACTTTTGATAAGTCGGGGTAGTCAGAGTCTTTGCTAACGCTGAGTTTCGTCCTCAGAACCTCTGAGAAGTTATTGTTAGCCACACAGTTCACTTTACATGAGTGTTCACAGTCCTTTCCTCACCCCTTAATTTTGCCAGAGCGCCAGTCAATGGGGGGATTATGTTTTTTAAGCCACGGAAAACCCCAAATCAGCGGGTGCTGTGCTGAATCAAATAAATGAAATTGCATAACTTCTGTGTGGTTGTGATTTAATTCAATTCAATTCAATTCAATTTTATTTGTATAGCGCCAATTCATAACAGAAGTTATCTCAGGACACTTTTCAAATAGAGTAGGTCTAGACCGAACTCTTTAAAACATTAATTACAGAGACCCAACAGTACCACCATGAGCAAGCACTTTGCGACAAGGGCAAGGAAAAACTGCCTGTTAAAAGGCAGAAACCTAGGACAGATCCTTCAGCTCTAGGTGGGTGGTCGTCTGCATCGACCAGTTGGGGTGAAAGAGAGAGAGCGAGAGAGAGAGAGAGAGAGAGAGAGAGAGACACAGACAGACAGACAGACAGACAGACAGGTGTATAGCAACAACAGTATTGGCAATGGCAATCTAGCAGGACCATGGCAGGAGGCTCCACCAGGATCGATAAGAACCTGCAAGACGAGAAAGCACAAGAACTCCGGGGAATAAGTGAAGTTAGTAACATGCATTAATGGGACATGAATGAGTGCAGAAAGAGAGAGGAAGAGAGGAGCTCAGTGCACCATTGGAAATCCCGCGATAGTCTAGGCCTATAGCAGCATAACTAAGGGATGGTTCAGGACTCACCTGATCCAGCCCTAACTATAAGCTTTATCAAAGAGGAACGTCTTAAGCCTACTCTTAAATGTGGTGAGGGTGTCTGCCTCCCGAACCACAACTGGAAGCTGGTTCCACAGGAGAGGAGCTTGGTAACTGAAGGCTCTGGCTCCTGTTCTACTTTTAAAGACTATAGGAACCACAAGTAGCCCAGCATTCAGAGAACGTAGTGTTCTAGAGGGGTAATAGGGTACTATGAGCTCTTTAAGATATGAAGGGGCCTGACCATGAAGAGCTTTATAGGTGAGGAGGAGGATTTTAAATTCTATTCTACATTTTACAGGGAGCCAATGCAGAGAAGCTAGTACAGGAGAGATGTGATCTCTTTTTCTAGTTCCTGTCAGTACTTGTGCTGCAGCGTTCTGAATTAATTGGAGC